CCCCTACCCCAGCCCCCCAGGATGCGGCGATTCAGGATGGTGCTCAGTCTGGCGAGAGGTGCTGGGCTCTGCTCACAGGTGAGCGCCTGCAGTCCGACCCTGCAGGAAGGAGCAGGGTAAGAGCCCAGCAGCAACCCCAGGGGTGTGGGACAGGGATGGGGGAGTCAGGGCTCACCATTGCTGGTGCCCCCCCCAAGCCGCTCGCTGGGGCTGGTGGGAGTCGTCTGCCCAGGGCCCTCCTGGCTGGTTCCCAGCTGCAGCTTCCGCATGTGTCTCACCACCGCCGTGGCATTGAAGGCTTGCTGCTGACCCACAGCATTTGTCACCTGACCTGGGAAGCCTGGGCAGGCCCCTGCACCTCCCTAGCACCCCACAGTCCCTTGCACTCACCTTCCACTTACTCTTTGCAAAGTTCTTCTTGATCTGCTCGCTCACTGACTGGTGGATGTTCTTGTCCAAGGCTGTGTCCCCAGCAATCCTGGGGCAGGAAGGGTGTCAGCAGGGCCCCCACTACCCCGTGGCTGCTGTGACTGAACTGGGGCGGGGGGATAGACAGTAGCAGGACCCCCCTTACCAGGGATGCTGCAAGGCTTGCTCACAGGTGAAGCGCTTGCCAGGGTCCTTCTCCATCAGGTGCTGGATGAAATCCTTGGCTTTTTGGAAGACAGCCTTGGCTGGGAGGAGAGGCAGACCAGCCATGAGCACCTGTGCTCACCCCTGGCAACCCCTGGGCTACTGCGACAGCATGCCAGCATGCCAGCCCCCACTGCTCCCATGGCCCCGGCCCACCTGAGTCCGAGATGTCATCCCAGTAGGGTGAGTCGAACTCGTACTCGGCCCGCAGGATCTGCTCGAAGAGCTTGGCATCATTCTCATCGTAGAAAGGGGGGTAACCACAGAGCCTGTGGGGGTGGTGGGGTGGGGATGCTGGCCCTGGGTGGGCCTGGGGGGCTGGAGCCCACGGAGGGGAGAAGGGGTGGGAAGCGGGGTACATACAGGATGTAGGCGATGACCCCGATGGACCAGCAATCCACTGCCTTGCTGTAGGGCTTCTGTGCCAGCACCTCGGGGGCTGGGGGGACAGCAGGGGTGAGGGAGGACCCCAACCCCTTGGGGGACACCCTGATCCCACGGCCGGGGTGGCG